TGTGTGTGTGTGTGTGTGTGTGTGTGTTGCAGTGGAGTCAATCTGTTGGAAACGATAAGAAACCAGAGTCGACGTGACACAAAGAAAACTTTATTATCTACAATCTGGTGGACAGAAAGGTGAGGACGTGACATGTGACATGCTGTCCCTTCATATCCCACCATGCCGAGCGGTTAAATTCAAACAGCAGGTTGTTAACTTCATTTCAAACATGTGAAACACGTTTACACATTATTCAGTGATATGTTAAAGAAAACTGCTCCAGATCAGTCCAGTCCGTGGTCCCAGCCAGTTCTTTAAGTTTATAAAACCAACAGTGTCACATGACTGCTGATGTTCAGAGGATGGATTGATTAGTTATTAATTAGTTGTTGGCGAGTTGAGTCAGGTTCAGTTGAATCTGGTTGGGTCCCGCAGTGACGTCATGGTCCAGGTGGATTCATGTTTGCTTCTGTCGGTGGACAGAATGTGTTGCTGTAGTTTCTGTGGTCACACAATCACTAGTGAACGAGGTCCCGTTTATTATCCTCATCACAAGGTTCATTTAAATAAAACACGGACAGGCCAGCATGACCACTTCAAAAACACAATGTCAAATTTCTCCTCCATTTTACGTTTGTCCTGACAAAAACTTCTATCTTTGTGGGGACAGGTTTAGATCTATGTTCATTAGTGTCCTACGTGTGTGTGAGTCTAATTTAAGAGTCTCCACCCGCCTGCTGCTGCTCAGAGCCATTACGTGAGCGTCCCTTTCTCATCAGCTGACTGATGAGCTCAGGCACAGATCCAATCAGGTGAGAGGAGGAGGAGAGCTGCGATTGGTCAGTCAGACATTGATGACAATATCATCATCATCTTCGTCCCTCACCTCCTCTTGTAACGTATCCATCGACTCCCTCCTCCTATCCCCTCTTCCCTCAGCCTCCTCCTCCCCGGGGCCCGCATGGGGCCCGATGATGTACCTGTAGTCTCCTCCGATGGCGAGCTCTGCCCCGGACGCCACCATCAGCCAGTGTTTCTCCTCGTCCTCCGCCCGCCGCTGCCAGGGAATACTCCAACTGGACGCTGTGGCCTCCCTCGCTCCTCCTCCCTCCCTCCCTGGCTCCCCCTCCTCGTCCTCCAGGTTAATGTAGAGTTGAGGCTCCTTCTGTGGGGGGGCAGGGGACAGGCTGTGCCACAGCGCCTCCAACTGTCTGACCAGATGTTGGAAACTGGGACGACATTTAGGAACCGGACTCCAGCAGCTGTGCATGATGTCATAACTGACACCAACGAAGAAGAAATGACAGTTAGAGCTGCTCAACAGAGGATGAAGTGATGAAGATGAAGTGATGATGTCACACCCACATGTCGTTCCTACAGTCTGGAGGTTTCTTCAGTCGTTCACCTTTGATCAGAAACTCGTAGATCTCAGAGTTCTCCACCCCGGGGTAAGGCGTCTGACCACGAGTCATGATCTCCCACATCGTCACGCCAAACGCCCACTGAAACACACAAACACACACAGAGGGTGCTGATCAACTATATCACACCAGTATTATTATCGTACAGGGGTTATACACATAACTACTTTATTAAAATGAGTAATGTTTTCATTTTTACTTATTACTGACAAATAAAATAAGTGTGTGTGTGTGTACCACGTCGCTCTGTGTGGTGTACAGGTTGTCAGCCAGACTCTCCAGAGCGATCCACTTCACTGGTAGTTTGGAGACGGAGCCTTGTCTGTAATAATCTCCACTGTAGATTTTCTTTGAGAGACCAAAGTCTGCGACACACACCGTCATGTTCTCATCCAGCCTGACACACACACACACACACACACACACACACACACACACACACACACACACA